CAAAATTATTTTTTATCGATGGGCTGGACTAATAGAGATCACCCTCTATCCAGTCTAAAACAAAGAACAACTTTTGCAAAAATCGGATTCCGTCCTTCGCGTGGATTTCGCGTTCGAATGAAGCGATGACTCGATTTTGACGCTGTGTTTGTGTGAAGAATTTCCCATCTGCGCACTTCAAAGAGATTTAGACTTCGACGTTCAAGAATCTTCGACTTACATGATGCAGATGTCGCCCGTTTTTCAAGTTTTATTGGGTCTCTGTGAGATTCAAGGTTTAAAATTGATCTGATTACTTCAGGACTCCAAGTGAGAATCCGGTTACTCTGGTTGAAAACGTATGCGTTATACAACCACATTTTAATTTCGATAACTCGAATCGGCCTAAGTTGAATACCTCCGTATGTCAAATTTTCTTCGTGTCCCTGTCTGAATTCCCTTATGGTCGTTTAACCTCCCCAACTTGAAGGTTTTCTCTTCCAAATCTTCATAAATTTAATTTTCCCGGGGCCTTCTGGCTATTAATTTATTGACACAGGGAAGAAAAAAAATCAATAAAAAATGTTACCTGATATGGTTTGAAAGAAAGCAAAAGACTAATCAAGGCAAATGAACCCTTGCCGCTACGATCCGCATCCTGTCAACTAATTTAAGACGCAATTTGTGGCCCAGATTATCACCAATTGAAAATTTCTGTTATCGATTTTTTCTTCCTTCCCAAACGAACAGCTTGTTTCCGTAACTGAAAATGTTTTCCATGTCTCTAGATTTTCCACTTTTAGAGGTTCTATTATACTGTAATACCTTTGGTCAGACTAGTGTTCTAGGCGACACCTACGTTAAATAGGAGCAATCAAGATTAAGGAACTGGATCTTTTGTGTGCATTCGAGGAAGAGCTTATGACCGTGGGAAGTTGTTGAACTTGCGGCTTCTTGATCAGGTGTTGTTTCGAACTGCCTTCGGAAAAAATTCTGTGATTGTTTCGATTGTGTGGTAAAAAAAATTTTCTATTGAAATTGAAATCGTATTTTACGCTTGTGGTAGTTCTAGTCAGTATTTAACACGCTTGGAGAATGTTTTTTCTTTATTAACTGGCGTTGGTTGCACTAGTGATCTTTCCTTACAGGATGTGTGGGGTATTAGGAAACGGATGGACAGTCGTAGTTTGCGGTATGATTTGTGTAAGACACATGTAGAGGAAGTTGTTGATGCACTCGTCATGGATTCGCTCGTATGTTTGTCTTCAGTTTTCATTTGTCGACGGTTTTGGCGTGGACAAAATGGAAGATTCGGGGGCGAGGAAAATTCTGGAATGGGCCGAGGATTACATCAACACCCAGACAGATGTCAGTCAACCAGTGAAAATCGTCGATGTTGCCAGTTTTGACAGGGAGGTAAAAAAAAAATGTCTTCACTAAATCAGTGTGTTTATGTTCGTCATAACTTGTCTTTATTCTTCAAGATTGATGTAGGTGTTAATTATGATTTGCGGCTTCGCCTGGGCTTTCTTCTGTGTCCGAAGTTTGTCTTGAGGGGCTCGGCATCGTGTAAACTGGACGAGAAATTGGTGAGTGAGCTGAGTTGTGATGAAGATATCTATTTTGTCTGAGATACTTGAAGTTGTATAAAACAGAGCTAAACTATTTATTTATTGTCTGAAGACGTGTCTTCTTGAAAGAGGAAGAGTTTGAGAGCAGAGATTTTTGCTGTTGAAGGAGGATAGGCTTGCGAATTCAATTTTTTCAACAATTTTCTGAAAATCTTATCTGTCGATAAATCAGAAAAGAGTTAGTTACATCATATGTACCGTATATCGTGTGTACATTATATATTATTACAATACATTTTTATATTTTATAATCTATTTTTTTATCATCAGCTTCAGAACAGAGCTTTGTCTCTTTATGTCGGTTGCTTTGAATTTTTTGAGGGATAACAGTTTTGAATGAGGGTTTTTTCATGAAGTGTCGAAAAAGATCCGATTTTCATTGAAATCTGTTCAAATGAACGCAGCTCTTGAAAAAGACAGCAAAGAACTTCTGGGTAATTCGAAGCTCAAATTGAAGCATCTTCGTCAAAAAATCTGAAGCTTGTACCATATTTTTATGTTTATATATTTTGCTCCTTGAAAGTTAACTCTGCAAGTCTCTTAAAATAATTTATGATGGCATTTCTAGTACATCTACAACATTCCAATTTTCGTGCCATGATTTTCAAACGGCAAGAAGAGTATTTTTGACAATTTGACCATCAGATTTCATGCACCTGCGATAGGAATTTTTCTGGAAACACCGACAGATTTTTCTTGCTTTCCATCGACGACTGAATCTCTCTCCAAGTGTGGTTTCAGAAACCGAATGACGTGTTTCGTTTGACAGATTTCTCTCTGCACAAGATCAATTTTCACATTTTCAGCCTGAAACTCTTTGCGACGTCGGGATCCTGGAGGACTCCGTTTCCAAAGAAAAAGAAATGACGCGTCTGCTGTGCACCAACTCCTCACGTCCTTCCAAAACCTACCTCTCCGCCGACGCGTCTCAAGTGGCGTCCTCACTCCCGACACCGCCGTCCCCGTCGTCTTCCGTAACTGCCTCTGAGGCGTCCAGCGTCTGCGACGAATTCGACTCCGTTGACATTGATGAAGTTCTTCCGAGTGGCTGGACCCGGTTGCACAAAGCG